GCTTAATAAACAAACTTTCATCAATTTCCACAATGCAGTCTGGTCCACCTATCTCCTGTTTGGTTTATTCTCCATATCCAAGACACATAATTCATATATGTAATTGTCCCAATCTATAACAGTTTTTTTCCGATGAATCAAGTTGCTTTTCGCAAAATTTAATTGACGTCAACTCCTCGCACCAGCAGTATACAAATCTCAAAGCTGACCGAAACGGAATTCTGTCCTCTTTTGAACGTATTTCACAGGTCAGCCAAGATTCGTACGGTCCTTAAAAGTCCTTAAATTTTTTGAAATCGATATTTGGTTCTTAAAAGTCCTTAATTTTGGGCCAAAATCAAGGATTTAATTTTAATCATCTGAAATTTCTCTGTTTTTACAACTGCCATTTTGAGTGTGAATTAGCATTTTGGAGGAATATTTTTGGCAATTCTCTGACGAATATGGTTATCTTTTGAAGGTTCATGGGTATAATTGTTTCTAACATAAATAATGGGATACTCGAGTTTTCTAAGCAAGAAGTGAAACATACGCATTCGAAATTCATTTTTCCTAATAAGAGCTCTTAAACAACTTTTCTCTTTTGGATTGTGATTCTTTATTATGGTTCTGAATTTGACATTGTCAACATTTTGGCGATATTAATATCAGTTTATATGGAAATTTTTAATTCCGAGATCTGAGATTGTTCGGCGATTTTTTTTTTAAAACATCAGAGATTGATAATTCATTAAAATATGTAATATTCAGAATTATTTAAAATCATTAAAATAAAACATTTTATTTTTCACTCATATTATAGTTTCATTGCAACTTCTTATACAATATTTTAACTTAAAAAAACAAAATATTAGCTTAAAGATAATTTAACGAAACAGCTCTTAGTAAAAGCAAATTAGCTATGTACTTAATTAAAGGCTTTTAATTTTTCATATAAGCATTTTTCCCATCTATGGTCTCAGAATCAAAATTCTCAATGTAAGTTTTCTTCTGAAATTAATTTTGCGCTTTTTCCTCCTTCTCCCCCCCCCAAAAAAAATTGGCTTTTGCTGTTACAATTGGTTGGATAATTTTTCTTTAGTTTTTTGACTTGCAGCATGGAAGTTTCGGATTTGAAGGCAAGATGTATAGACCCACGATTCTAGAAGTTCGAGAAATATGTGAAAAATGAAAAAGTTCCATGGTATCACTAGCAACCAATGCATGCATGTTACAGAAGTTTGCGATGATTTCTTACTTTTGGAGAACGTCTGCAAAAACATGGAACATAATATGAATGTTTTCCTGATACTAAATCTTTTTCTAACTGTTCTTTCCCTTTTTCTCTTTTTCACTAGCAAAACATGGAAAATATCAAAAATGCTTCTAATCTTATCCTTGGGCAGGCTTATAGAAAGAGATTTCTTTATATAAAGAAATTGAAATGTACATTTAAAGATTCATCTAATTGTCTAAATGCATCGTGGAGCTGGTGTTGCTTTTCCCCCTAATGCAATCTTCTGGATGCTAAGCTGCCGTGCCTATCTAAATTCTACCCCGCTCTGTAACCGGCCTTTACATCTATATTCATATTTCTTGAATGCTATATTACTAAAAAAAATTAGCCACTTTTTCTGTACATTCTTAAATGCATTAGTGTTTTTAGGAAACAAATCCTTAATTAAATCCAAAATTTAAAATGAAATGGAAACGTTGAAGAAATGAATACTAAAGAAATATTCTCAAAGATTGTTCTTATTATGAAATTCCCAATTGTTTATATTTCAGCCTACTATAATTCCCATTCCGTTTCCTCGTATGATGAGTCCAAGCCAGATTAAATTAAATGTATATCTTGACCACTAGTCCATTTTAGTTTGAATTTGACTGTTCTGTTTAATTACATCACCTGAGCTTATTGACTTTGTAGCATCAGAAAATACCTTTATGTTCTAAGTTCTGTCTGATTGTACTTTCAATACAGGGATAATTTGCTTCACATCTTTCAGGCGGGACTATTAACTTTACCAGATAAGTAAACCCTCATAGTACATTGTGGAGAGATGACAAGTTAGGAGAAAGCCGAAGAAACTGCAAAAAATGGTGCATATTGAGACAAATTTCTAATTATTGTCAGAAAAGATCTATAATTAAAGAGGAGAAAATTGATATAAACTAGCCAAAATGTTTGGTAAGGCTTGTAGAGACATTAGGTATTTTTGAAAGCAGGAAAAATAAAAAATTAACAACCGGGAATCAGACTGCGAATTAAATTTGCCGGGAATCGAACTGCGGACCTCTGGAATGCCACTACACCACGAAGGGTCGCCAAGAAGGTGGGAGAAATACCTTATATACTTTCCCTTTTAAACGGCGACTGGGGTTTTTAGGGAATCCAAACGCCAAATTCTTTATGTGGAGAACCCATCAAGTAACCATCACCCATCAAATAACCATCAAGTAAAACTTATTCTTGCATCTACTGGCTTGTATATGAAAAACTTATCACCTGGTGCTTCAATGGCTTATTGAACCTTAAGTATATAACTGGGTTACCCCTGGATCTACACAAAGCTATGACATTCTGCATTAAGCCTTGACTAACTTCAACACTTGCCAACTGTGCCTACTCAGTTTCAGTTTGTTCCAATCACGGTCTCTCTATAGACAAGCAACATTCATCTTTTTTATGATCATGTGATTATGATTCACTTCTCATTTTCTATGCCATTTAACCTAAATCTCCCTACTATTCTAAACTCTACTGACCAGTATGTGACAAAATTGACATTTAAAAAACAAAAAAAGCATAAGCTAACTATAGTAAAGCATAAATGTCACTTATCTTCTTTTCCTTGTCCAACTATTAAGTTGTAGTATAGCTCCGATAAACTGCATGAAATTTATTTTATCTCAAACTTATTCATAATTATGTTAGTTAATTCTGTTTATAATAATGCATACTACTTATGGATCTATTTTTTCTTAGGATGGTGTTACAAAGTGAAATTCAGCATAGAAAATTTTTAATTGAATTATTCAGTTTCCATTGCTCATAGGTCCTTAATTTTTTTCATTAATGGTCCTTAAAAGTACCTAATTTCCGTGTGCAGAAATGTGTATGAACCCTGTCAGCATTTAACATGTGTATATATTAATTATTTGTTTTCTCTATAAAATATGCAATTACTTGTAAGAAGTAGGTTTTTAAAACTTAACTGATTCAATCTTATTTTCTTCATTGTTTCAGTAAGCAAGATTTTTATGTGATTTAACAACCATGTTACAGCTTCCTTATGTCTTACTTTCAAAATTAGATAAAGCCATATTATTGGAATGACAGCATGCATATTGATTCGATAACTAATGAGATATGTAAATTGTAATTCTCTTTTGATATTGAGCTCTTGCATTAAATTTAGAATTTCTTGCTTCAGAACAACTGTATCAGAGTTGAATCATTAGTGTCCTTGATACAGTTATGTATAAATGTTGTCATTTTATTACGTTATGTGCTAAGGGTAGAATAGCTATATAGTATTAATATGTGCAATATTAATAGCTGTTACCTTCGAGCTGAATATTCCCTGTGGCTAAATTAAATGTGTATTCTTATTGACTAGATTTCTGCCTTTTAGTCATTAAAATTTATCAATTTCATTCCTGAAACCTGGTGAACTTGGTGACATTTGAGTGCATAGCTATCTTTACATTAAAATTTATGAAGACAAATGAACTACTTAGAAATACTTCCAAAATGTCATCTTAAATGCAATAGAATAATATCTCTTAACCAGCAGCAGCAGGATCTCACCAATTTTAGATGATTGTTGAATATATGCTTCTAGAACTTACGTGTTCATGTTTAATGATACTATCCATAAAATTTCATCATGTGAAGTCAATTGGTCATATTTTTCAATCTATCAGCCAGTGTTAAATTATATTGAAAGTCGTACAGATTTTTTAAAACACATGATGTTATATTTCAGAAAATTAGATGGCATTGAAAAATTGCCATATGTATTATCACATGAAAGTTCTGAATTTCTTGGTGTAACTTAACTTTAAAATATATCTTATGCATACAGTATTATTGTCAAAGTTTTAAAAATTTGTTGTGTATGCAGTGAAACTTCATGGCATGAACTGACATTGATGAACTTTTATCAACCTCTTTCCACATAACTCTCTTACTCAGTGTGTCACATTCGTTTCCCCCTTCTTTCATTCCTTTTTCAGTACATATTCGGTTATTTCGCCATCAGTTTGATTGTATACCAGGAATACAGAATTATCATTTCATTGATCCTAGTCATCACCCCCTCTTCAATAACACCAATCTTCTGCAAATGTGTAATTCATTCCAAGATGTCAGGCACAGGCTTTGGACTTGTTATAAAACCTAGGGAAAATAAGTTATCATAGGCAAGAGCATGATTTTAGGCCACAATTTGTACCAACAACAACGTAAAATAGTGGTCTTTAAGTCTTCTCAGGCAAGAGCCAAAGTAATTTTTTTCTAAAAGTCATGACACCACTTATGAGGTTCACGGTTCACTTGATGCATGAAACGGATCAATAGTTCATATTTTTATTCTGGCTAATTCATAGCCTTGTTACATTAGGTGGATTTTATATATGTTTAAATTTTTCAAAATGTCTATTTTGATGAGTGACACAAGAATTTTTTTTCCCTTGAAATCGTACTGTGAACTGTTAATATTGAAAACATGTTTTAACTAACTCTAATTTATATTAATTTTTTATTTAAGCTGTTATTAAAAATGGCATTGCGTGAAATATTTTTAAAAATTAACAATTGGTGTAGATGTCATAATAGGGTTTTGGGTGCTGTGAGTTTTTGTTGATAATATTTTCAAGCATTGTATCACATGTGATTTTTTTACTATCCCAGAAATATTTTACACTTATTGTCATAAATTTGTATTGCATTTAAAAATTATATATCTTTTAATTTTATATTCATGTACTTCTGAAGAATATTTTCTCTTTTACAGGTGATTCTGATATTATTAGAACCATGCCTACTGAACAGCAGTGATAGTACTAATAAAAAATAATTGTTATTGTACTTGTCTGTTTCCACTCTTTTGTTTTATTAAATACGGTATTTGATAATTGCAATTAAATTTATTTCGTAGGTGAAGAAATGCAGGGACATTTGTTTTTACTTTACTCCATACTTTGCAAAAATGTTAAGAGGGAATAATGTTTAGTTCTTTCTGGCATCTATGCCAGCTTAAGGTAGCTCTTTTGCTCAATTTTAAATAACCATGAATGCAAAGGTACAATGAGCAAGTGATCAGGTTTGAAATATTTTGATTTGTTTGTGAAAACTGTTCCAACAATTAAGATGTTGTTCAAGGATGTTACAGTCAGTGAGGCTGAGGTAAAATTTTTATACTCTAGTTTGAAGATCTCAATTTTACTTGCTCATTTATTGTGGAAACAACACAAATACATTTTGGGAATTACTCAGTGGTATGTCACTTGAGGCAGAATGACAACTCATAAATATTTAATGAAATCCACTACACTTACCTGATGTATAATTATACACAACGGCAGTTTCCAAGGCATTGAGATTGGTTTGAAACTTTTTAAACAGATCTTGTGTTAACTCATATTGGACCACTCTAAAAAAATTTCACTGGAAAAATGTAACTCTTTTGAGATATCAATAATATGAGATAGTAACACATGTAAAACTAAAATTTTCAGATATTGTTCGGATTTTATTAAGCTGCAGACTGTTCTATTAATAGGACAATGGTCCAATACTCTGTTAAATTTTACAAAAACTTTACTCACTTACTCAAGAGGAAAATTAGGAAAGCAGTCAATACAAAGTCTTAATATTTCAGAATCTACAAATAGTTGTAGTTTTTCTATTGCGTGTTTTTTTTTTTTTTTTTTTTTTTTTTTTTTTTTTTTGGGGGGGGGGGGGGGGGTACTGGCATTTGTCTTTGGCATCCCTCAGGATTTTTTACTTTTCAGTGACACTAAAAGAATTATTTGCTTGTTTTGCATACCAGTTAGTCTTTACAACTGTGCATGATATCATTATCGCATCAATTCAATAGACAATATTAATCAATGTGTAAAACATTCCAACAGCGGGTAAGCAAAATAACACTTACCTGAATCACCGGGTTCTTCATTCAGGTGTATCCAAAAAATACGCACAGGTTCAGCTTTTTAAAACTTTAATCTGTACACAAGTTATAAAAGAGAGGTTATTACAAGAGATTAGAAACTACGTATCCATTTCATAAGGCATTCAAAAATAAACTAAATTAAAAATAGAACACTGATTACATCATAAATCGTTGAGCTCGCGGTTAAAACTTACGTAATCAGTTCAATCCGTTATGCGCACGCACAGGCGGAAGTATCACATATCCAACAATCATGTCTTCAGCCATTATGTGAAAAGGTTTAACTGGAGTTTTCCCGACACCACATTTATAATATTTTAATGGTCTTGAAAAGAAATACCGCTTGGTGAAGGCATGAATTGGGGTTCTTATTTTTTCCACTTGGGGGGGGGCTTTTATGCCAAAATTAGATTCTTCATATTTGTTTTGATAAAAATTTCTGTAGTTCCTGTGGTGTCTTCTATTACAGATTCGCCACATGATACTGATATGCTACAGTTTGAGCAGAAATATTCAAGAGCCTCTGGAGCTGTTAAATTTTCTTGCCATTTTAAAAATGTTGACCTTTCAACGGAAATTGAAATTTCCACTCAAGTAATAAACAGGGAAGTAACTCATCTACTTCAGAAAAAAATTACTGCTGATCATTTCTCCCAAAACAATAAGCACATGTGCTATAGAAAAGTTTCATCTGATGTCACAGCTTTGAATGCCCACAAGGGAACCATTAGGATACAAGGTTAAAAAGAAACTTTTCAGGCTAATTTCTGTTTAGAATGTTTATCTGTTTTATACAAATGTACACCTCTGACTACTATTGCCAAGGAAACGTCACATAGGTGAACCTTCGCGAAAACCTGTTCAGGAGGTGTGTGACATTTTACTTTTGTAATGTAATAGAAAACGTACCCAAATAAATTCCAGAATAATCTATTCCTGAGTCCTTCCATATGTTATGCTAATTTCATTATATGAAGAGCAATTTTCAAAATTGATTTGAAGGAATGTGATCTATGAATTTGGGGAGTGACGAGCAAAAAAAGTTGAGGATCGGACAGTTGTCCTATTTACAGGACGCAAATAAAATGCAAGAAAATTACCTTTAAAAGATAATTTTTCCAGTGGATATTTTAATTTCTATAAATATACTAGCAAAATTATATACATGTGTTTAGGAAAAATATATATTTGAATCCTAAATAATGGCTCAGAAATAAATAATTTTAAAGTCTTTTTTAATGAAATTAATTATGGTAAGAGATGACTGCAACAAGGAGATGCAAATAATTTAATTGAAGAAATACGCCTTAACGAAACAAAATTTCTTTTAAGTACTTTCGCATGACACCTCATTATTTCGATGAATTTCTAGCCCTCATTGTATTTATTCAAAAGCAGAGCGATAATTTTTCTCAGAATATCGCAGAAAAGAATTGTTTGGAAGATAGGAATAGGATATCTCATACAAGGATCGTTGCATATATCTAATTTAGTACATTTTAAAACCATGGTATAAACTGGACTTTTGAAACGAGATGCCTGAAACTGATGCATCAAAAAGTTGAAGTTAACTGAACTTATGCGGTGTCCGGCCATCCGACAAATGCTGCTTCTGAACTTAGGTTAACGCTTCACGCGTGACTGCGTTGGTGTGAATTTTTGCTTCCGAGTGATAATTTTTTTTGACGTCAAATTATAATCTAATGATTTAATTTTTAATAATAATAAAAATTCTTTTAAAATTTACGAAAAATTCAGATTTATATTTTTATTTATTTTTTAGTTTTCCGATTTCCTTACCAATATTAAATAATTATGAACCTGTTCTCATTGCATTTGAAAGGAAACATGGAAAAGGGGGGGGTTAAAAAAAAAAGAAGTTTTACTGGCAATGACAAATCTCGTGTGACTATACAAGAAAATCTTTTTTTTTTTTTTAATAATTCTATCACTGCTTACTCCTTTTCAAATGGTAGTTTGTTATCACACATACGTTTTCTGCCATAAAACTATGCAGAGAATACATAAAAATTAAATTAAAAGCTGGATTTTGTGGAATTGCTGGTATTCTTGATTTCAATCGGCCATACCAGACACTTATTGTCTAATATTACTTATTGTCTTTTTAAATTTTACTTTAAAATATAAGAATTTTAATAGGAGTATTCCTCTTTAATTATATATAACCGAGCCTTTATTTTTGAAATCGTTGGTCATAGTTGTGTACTTCCATGTACAGAAGTATTATAAATAACAAAAATATTCATTCATTTGTCGAATTTAAAAAAGAAATTTTTTTTTGGACATAACGAAATCCAAGTCTTAATGCAGTTTCCCGGTTCCTGTATTACGTCTGGGGGGAGTTTTATACTTGTTACGAAAAAATAAAATTATGAGGAGTTTAACCCCCATATGACAAAAATTGACCAAGCTGTTTAATTTTTAAATGGGAAGTTTTTCATATCATTTTCAACTTAATTTGAGGGATCAGTTAATTAAGTGAAAATAATTCGACCAAATAAGTTGAAATGAAGTGCAGCAAGAGCAAAAATGTGTGTAATTTAACAGGCTCTACAAGGAAGTCGGGGTGTCTACATCAGATTTTTTATTGTCATATAAACAAGCTGGTAAAGAAAATATACATAATTTGGTGATTCCTATCTGCACACATAGAGGGACTTAGCTATGTTTTCAGGATTAGATGATAAAACAGAGAATAAAAAACTTAAGCAGAGGTGGCATTCACTCGAACATAGTTTTATTCTCGTAATTAAAGCAGATTTACATATCAAAGTTACGGGTGTTGTATATGCACTCGCAGAATTTTGCAAGCTTAAATCTTTTTTTAGAGGTAAACCATGTGTGGCCAGCAAGAAAGAGAAGGCATAATTGCTTGAAATTTTATTGATAGTAAAAATTTTCTATAATTTTATTGACTGAGAACCATACGCCACGTAGAAGGTGAAGATATTTAGATGCGAAATTAGTTTTCATATATGACGCAGCTTCGAAAAAGTTATTACTATTTTTCGAGTAGAGAGAATTTCTGTTGATTAAAAGAGGAATTAAGGGCCTATTGCTAATTTAAAGTAGTAATTTACAATTAATTAGTTACGTATTTAAAATTTCTAAGTACTAACCCCTTGAAAATTTCTGTTTTAGTTAGAGAATAATTAGTAGTTTTCATTTTTTTCTCTCATTTATATTTTTATAAACTTTTATTACTAAATTGCCCTTTTAAGAAAACTTTTTTTTTCCACCTCTAATATTTATTTTGCTTTTCACCACCAATTAACTGGGGCATTATTATTAACCCTACACAATTTTTCCTAGGATGGAATATCTTTTTAATCTTACATGTATATATCATTGTGACCCTAAAGAAATTTAATTTAGTAAGCTGGCTTATATAATATTTTGAATGAGGTGGTGCTTATTGTCATTATGCCAAAAATGACAATTTTTTTTCTTTCATTTTTAATAAAAGTTCTAAACTTTATACACTCTTGGAAAAAAATCGAAGCGCCAAGAAGGATTTTTGCCATCGTGACGAAATTTGGTATACAAAAACGTCTTGACTGAACATGCAAATGAACAGGAATCGAGATCATATCATAGCGCGCATTTCTAGTGCGCAATTCGCAAAGTATAAAACCAGTAACAGAGGTGGAAAATGTATCTTTTTTTTTTTTTTTTTTTTTTTTTTTTTTGTGCTGCCATTGTAATTACATAAAGAAGCAACTAAAGATGCCATTACGACGATATCGAAGACCTTACAAACAACTGAACGACTTCGAACGTGGTTGCGTGAAGCTGGGTGGTCAGACCGAGCAACAATAAGCCGCCACCTGCAGTGTATAGACACTATGCTGCGCAAAGATGTTGGCAGCAATAGTTCCTACAAGAAAATTGC